CACACACACACACACACACACACACATTATAACAGGAGTGCACACACACACACACATTATAACAGGAGTGCACACACACACACACACACTATAACAGGAGTGCACACACACACACACACACACATTATAACAGGAGTGCACACACACACACACACACACATTATAACAGGAGTGCACACACACACACACACACACACATTATAACAGGAGTGCACACACACACACACACATTATAACAGGAGTGCACAGATTGCAGTTTTCTGACCGATCACCGACTTCTAAAAAGTCCGACCCGCTGATACCGAGTTAGTTTTCTAAGCGACACCGTCAGGAGTTAAAGACCAACATCCTAGAAACACAAACTGGTTTAACTGGCCATGAGGTAGAGCTCTGAAATATACAGGAAGTTCAGACAATTGTTGTTAAAACTAAATAAATAAGTTAAAAAAAGGTGAAATCGGTTTATAGCGCAAGGTCCGATTTCCCAAAGTTAAGGAGGTCGGGGCCACATGTTAAATGTTTCTGACCCGCTTTGTTTCATTACTCCCAGGACACGTGGACACATTCCTGCTGCTACATTGGATTTTTATTGTTGAAACGTGAATAAATATGTAACGATCCGTGTCTTCATTTCATCGTGAGAACATTTAATTATGTTTGTGTCCGAGCTGGAAACGTTGGCAGATTCATGAGAGCCGGTGGAGCAGCAGCACCGGCTTCAAACCAGAAGCTAGCTGCTAGCTGCTAGCTTGACCTTCGTGTTCGCGGATGTTGCGGAGCGGCTCCGTGCTGGAAACACGCCCTGATCCCCGCAACTGAGCGGGATCGGCTCAAAAGAACGGACAGAGGACAGAACCGGGCACAGCTCCTCATGTCTCCGGGACAGAACTCACCTGTTCCCGTCTACGAGTACAACCGGCAAATTCTTCTTCTCTGGTCCTCCGCCTCCTTCTTCTTCTTCTTTTATTGGCGGTTGTTAAACAACTGAAGGAAGCATTACCGCCACCAACTGGTAAGGAGCGTGGACTACATGACATAAAAAACTCTTTCCTTTTATATCCTATTATACAACCTCCACTGTTTAAAAAAAGAAAATATAGCCTGATAGCCTCCGTTTCCTGAATATTTCTGCAATAAATCAACAATATCCAATTTCATTTTACTAAGATGTCTAATCAACTTGTTTCTTTGAACATGATATCTCCTGCAATGTAAAATAATGTGTTCTATGGTTTCCTCTTCTCCACACTCGCATGTCTCAAGTTTCCTTATTAAAATAATGTGCTGTTCAGTCCAGTGTGCACAACTCTGAGTCGTGAAATAATTGTTTCTTCTCTCCTGTTCCTTTCTGTTCTTCTCCTTTCTCCAATTTTCCTTTGGATTTTATTAAACTACCACCTTTTCCTTTCTTCCTCCCATAATTTTTGCCACTTTTCTTTCATTTTTTGTTTTATTATACCCTTTATTTCTGTTATACTAAACCTATGATTATATCAACCACGTCCCGACCAGTGCTCTCCTTAGCCATCCTGTCTGCCTTTTCATTCCCCAAAACCCCGTGATGTGCTGGAACCCATGTAAAGTTTACTGTAATCCCCATCATGTTGATCCTATAAAGTGTTTGTTGTATTTCAGTTAATATATCTGGTCTACTATCTGACTGGTTGTGTTGCAAACTGGACAATGATGAACTGGAATCTGAGCAGATGATTGATTTTACTGGTCTTACCTCTTCTACCCACTGAACTGTTAAAAGTAAAGCAGCATTTCTCCTGTATAAACTGATACTCCACCACTAACGCTTTTTCCTACTTTAATATGAAATTGTGCTACAATGAACACTATCCCAATTTTATTAGTTGTATTTTTAGGTGCGTCTGTGTATATGTGTACATAATTATAATACTGGTTCATGTATTCCTGTCTCTGGTCCTCCAGCAAAATGAGGCTCTTCTTCTACGGTTCATTTCTATCCAGTTAACTTACGGCCCCTTGCCCCCTGCTGGCAGAGCTGCAGCACAGCGACACTTTTATAGATAAATTGGGTTCATGTTTTTACTTTTTTAAATAATATACATGCAAAATTATTAATATTGTAAATACTTCAATAAATGATTTATTTAACATTCATGTTAAAAACTGAATCCAGTACTCACCCATCCAGGCTGTCATATTGTAAAGTTTGCAGATGATACAGCGATGATGGGATGCATCACAAACAATGATGCTACAGGCAGGAGGTGGAACATCTGGAGAGCTGGTGCAGAGAGAACAACCTTCACATCAATGTGAAGAAGATGAAGCAGATGATCGTGGACTTCAGAAGGAACAAACACAGGAGGATCTGTGGTGGAAGTGGTCTCCAGCTACAAGTACTTGGGTGTGCACCTGAACAACAACCTCAGCTGGAGCAACAACACCACCAGCCTGATGAAGAAAGCTCATCAGAGACTCTACTTCCTCAGACGGCTGAGACGAGCTGGTCTGGAAGCTCAGTCCTCACCTCCTTCTACAGGTGTGCAGTGGAGAGCATCCTGTGCTCCAGCATCAACGTGTGGCATGGAGGCTGCACAGCTGCAGAAAGAAAAGCTTTGCAGAGAGTGGTGAAGGCTGCACAGAAGATGTTCTGTTTCATGTTGCTGCTGATCGGTTTCAATGTTGCTGCTGATCTGTTTCAAGTTGCTGCTGACGTGTTTCGTGTTGCTGCTGATCTGTTTTGTGTTGCTGCTGATCTCTTTCATGTTGCTGCTGATCTGTTTTGTGCTGCTGCTGATCAATTTCAGTGTTGCTGCTGATCAATTTCAGTGTTGCTGCTGATCTGTTTCATGTGGCTGTTGATGTTTCGTGTTGCTGATGATGTTTCGTGCTGCTGCTGATCTGTTTCATGCTGCTGATCTGTTTCATGTTGCTGTTTCATGCGTGCACATCTGCTCACACAGACTCATGTTCGTGCTGCTGTTTGATGTAATGTTTTTATGCTATTAGTGTTTAGTGTATTTTTAGTTATCATTGTTCTTACTTCATATCTTAGATGTTATTGTTTTTTTCTTCCCACTGTCTCCACTGTGCTTGCTCAGGATGGGAGACTGCAACGAAGCCAAGATTCATCTTGTCTGCTGGATTCTTAGATACAGAACTTTACTAACTGGTTTTTATGTGAATGTTCCTGTAAAGTCCTGAGACAACTTTGTTGTGATTTGGTGCTTTATAAATAAACTGAATTGAATTAAATGTTATTATTTTGTTGGATGTTTGTTGGATGCAGCACGGTGGCGCCACTGGTAGAGCTGCTGCCTCTCAGCGAGCAGGTCCCCGGTTCAAATCCCGGTCTGGAGGCCTTTCTGGGTGGAGTTTGCATGTTCTCTCTGTGCATGTGTGGCTTTCCTCCAGGTACTCCAGTTTCCTCCCACAGACCAAAAACATGCATGTTAGGCTGCATCCA